GAGGTTTTGGCTCAAAATCTCACGATACATGGCTTCATTCGTTCTTTCCTTAACACGGATCAGTCGTCCTGTCCCCTTAGCAGAAAAACAGCCCCAAAGCATGATGTCTCCATCCCCATGCTTCACAGTAGGTATGGTGTTCTTGGGATACAACTCAGTATTCTTCTTCCTCCAAACACGACGAGTTGAGTTTATACCAAACAGTTCTACCTTGGTTTCATCTGACCACATGACATTCTCCCAATCCTCTGCTGTATCATCCATGTGCTCTCTGGAAAACTTCAGACGGGCCTGGACATGCTCTGGCTTCAGCAGGGGGACAGGTCTGGCACTGGAGGATTTGATTCCCTGTCATCGTAGTGTGTTACCGATGATAACCTTTGTTACTTTGGTCCCAGCTCTCTGCAGGTCATTCACCAGGTCCCCCCGTGTGGTTCTGTGATTTTTGATGATTTTGATTTTTCTCATGATCATTTTGACCCCACGGAATGAGATCTTGCGTGGAGCCCCAGATCGAGGGAGATTATCAGTGGTCTTGTATGTCTTCCATTTTCTGATAATTGCTCCCACAGTTGATTTGTTCACACCAAGCTGCTTGCCTATTGTAGATTCACTCTTCCCAGTCTGGTGCAGGTCTACAATTCTTTTCCTGGTGTCCTTTGACAGCTCTTTGGTCTTGGCCATAGTGGAGTTTGGAGTCTGAGGCTGTGGACAGGTGTCTTTTATACAGATGAGTTCAAACAGGTGCCATTAATACAGGTAACGAGTGGAGGACAGAAGAGCTTTTTAAAGAAGAAGTTAGGTGTCTGTGAGAGCCAGAGATCTTCCTTGTTTGAAGTGACCAAATACTTATTTTCCACCATAATTTACAAATAAATTCTTTTAAAATCCTACAATGTGAATTCCTGGATTTTTTTTTCACATTCTGTCTCTCACAGTTGAAGTGTACCTATGATGAAAATTACAGACACTGTGCTCATTGGGACCTTCAAAGCAGCAGACAATTTTCCATACCCTTCCCCAGACTTGTGCCTCAAGACAATCCTGTTTCAGAGGTCTACAGACAATTCCTTTGACTTCATGCCTGGTTTGTGCTCTGACATGCACTGTCAACTGTGGGACCAAACAAGTGTGTGTAGGCCTGTCACGATAACAAATTTTGCTGGACAATTAATTGTCTCAGAAATTATTGCGATAAGCAATAATATTGTCGTTCTGAGATCATTTTCATCTAGTACAGCGATAATGTCGCAGGTAAACCTTTTCAAACAGAAATAAACTTTTATTTTTAAAGACTACCGCCGGAAGTGGCGGATATAGCAGGCGGGCTTTGATGCTAACAGAGTTAAGCTAGCAGCTTTTTGTGTAAAGTTCTTTGGCAAGAATGCAGCTCTTGTGGTATTTATATAAATACACTGACACACTAAAACGCATGTGTTTGATGACCTATTGAATTCTGGGTTGGAGGCCAGTCTTTTTATACATCGGAGGTGTCTTCTTGTGCCATCAACGGCTTGTTTGGTTTTCCCCCTTAGTCTTGACTTCTGCATTCTTCTCCTCACTCAATCATGAGTTTGTTGACAAGACTGGAGTCTTCTAGTCTACTAATTTGCCGATATGATAATACACCTAACCTTTCTTAACATATATTTACTTCATATTTTAGGTGATTTCATGTACTTAGATATTATGTTATTAGTGTGATGTGTTTTGTACTGCACATAGGTTTGTTCTTTAGGAAAAGCGGGCTGTTGAAACAGTTGTTTAGACAACAGAGATTGATCCCAGACCAGATGGTGCGGAGGCGGATCACGGGACCGGAAGCTGCCTGATACGACACGCCCCCTTCTTCCTGGACATCTTCTGATATGCTTTTGGCTTGAGGCTTGGCCTCAGTCAAGACAGGGCAAGCATAGGGAGAGCAGGCATAGTTTAGGAGCTTTTGTTTGAATTTCTGTATCTGATTGTAAAGATAAATTAAATACAGATGTTAAACTTGGATATCTTCGTCTTACTTCTGCATCAACTTTGAACACGCCTGTCAAGGATATTTTTGGCAACACTCTGCAGCGTCTCTTTGTCCAGAGACCTTCCAGAGACTTTAAATAACAGCAGTATGTGTTCACGGAAGTGTGCCATAAATTAATTTTGTTAATAAACGGTACTTCCGCATCGGCGAACACGCTAAAGCCTAGTGTATAGTTGCGCGGAGCTCACGGCGGTGACGTGACGTCACTTGTGCAACGTGTGGATCACCGCAAGGCCCTTAGCCTGCCGCGTACCCTCGAAAATTTCTTACTACGTAAGGGTCGCCGCAGACAAGCTCCGCTGTGATTGGTCCGTGTGTGTGTATTGGAAGCATGAAGCGGCTGCGGGAGCATGGACGAGGCACTTCGGAGCAGATTGCTTCGCGCTTCGAAGGGACCGAAGGAAAAGTAGTTTGGGCTCATGGCAGAGCCTGATATACGCGAGACTGTGGACTGTTCAGTTCTGTTGCATATCTAACTTATATAAACTGTGCAGTCGTTTCTTTTGCAGTGTTCCTGTCTTTGTTTGAATCTGCACTCATAGCTTATCTCGTCTGTTGCATTCTTCCTGCACTTGTAAATGGGTCATATTTGTCTCAGATATTTACCACTTATTGTTTTGCTGAATACAATTGAATAATAACTATGTTTCCAACAAGAACTGTGTCTTTATTCACAGCATCACAGTTAAATGAATTGAAACGATGAGTCCATAGAACTATCACATAAACCTACAGTAGAAACACATGTAATGATCTCAAACAGCTTGCTTTGCTATTCTTTTTGTTCTGAAGAGGAGAAAGTAGCAGCGCAAATGGGACCGCTTTGGTTTCTCAGGCAACTCCTGTGAGATCGCCATCACGTGGTTGGTTGTGGGATTATAACATTCTCTTCAAAACTCCGCAAGGGGAACACGCGACTGTACCACCAACTGTGGTTACGTAGGTCCAACGTAACCGCAACCAGCGCCGCGCGAGTGTACACAGGCCTTAACGCTAGTGGCGCTAGTTTAGTCACTACTAGAGCCTGAACTCAGGCTGGCATATGTTCACAACTACTGTGTCCCTCATTGTCAATCCTGGTTAAGTCCTGGTTTAGGTCCTGTTTTGGCTGTATTTTGTATTTTTGAGTTATTTCAGTCTGCTCGCTAGACCGCTAATATTCCCGTGACCACTTTGCAGCTCTCTACTCGAGAGGGAGAGAGTGAGACGGGGAAAACAAACAGGCATGCAAATGGAATTTATCGAGGCCAGAAAAATGATCAAGCTAATTTGAATTATCATGCGATTAATTGATTTATTGAATATCGCGACAGGCCTAGGTGTGTGCCTTTCCAAATCAAGTCAAATCAACTGAATTTACCACAGGTGGACTCCAATTATGCAGTAGAAGCATCTCAAGGATGATCCGGGTCAACAAGATGCACCTGAGCTCAATTTGAGCTTCACAGCAAAAGGCTGTGAATACTTATGTACATGTGATTTCTTCGTTTTTTTGCAAGAATCTCAAAAAAACGTTATTTCATGTCGTCATTATGGGGTGTGGTGTATAGAATTGTGAGGGAAAAAATGAATTGAATCAGCTTTGCTGGTGCCACAAAAGGAGCCTGCCCCTACTGAAAGTATCTGGAACCGGGGCCGAGGGTACCGCTGCTAAAGTGAGCCGGTGGAAACGCCCGCAAACCGGGGAGAGTCGAGCCTTATGCCGTGTTCAGACCGATCGCGATGGAGGCGAAAAAATCGCATCAAACGCCAGGCGTTTTTCGCTTGAATATTTGATGACACTCGCTTCTATCGCGGCGATTACTCGCTCTGTTCGCCTGCGGATTTTCGTCGAGATTTCGCCTCGCCGCGTCATCCAATAGGAGGAGCTTATGGCCAGTTGCCGGTTCCGGTTGTTGTTCAACTCAGCATGGCGGGCTTTGATTTTCTGGAACGAGTCACTATACTTTATTTAATGTGGAAAGCCGAACAGCGGCGGCAGCGACGCCGTCTCTGGGTCCACGATATCCTCCAGAGACGCTCCCAATATGGGGAGTACCACCATCTGCTCCAGGAGCTGCGCCTGGATGACGGTCGATTCCAGCGGTATTTCCGTGTGTCCAGGACCCAGTTTGAGGACCTGCTGTCCCGCGTTGGGGCTCGGATCACCGTCCGGGAGACCAACTACAGGCGCTCTATCTCCCCTGCAGAGCGCCTGTCCATCTGTCTTCGGTTAGTAAATCAAGCGGTTCTCAATAAATAAGATTCCAAATGTTATAATCCAAGTACTTTACATGTAAAGCCATTGTGCCACTGTTTAGCTTTTAGATTTATGCCAAACTAATCAGTTAGTTATGCCAAACTAGACACGATAAGCTCGTTTCAGGTGGGGGTTAGATAATTAATAGTCCATTAGGTTAGATAACTAAATGTTGTTCAATGCTACGTCACTGCTCGATTCAGTCCCTGATTGGTCAACGCCCCGCGAATTGACCAAAAAGTTCAGATTTTTCAACTCGAGCGAGTAGGGCGGTGGAGGCGAAATGGCTCTAGGCGCGCGTCAAACGCCCCTTTCGCCACTTTCGTTCCGCTCTTTTCGTTCAAAACGCCCTGTTCGCCTCGCTCTACTCTCGTCATTCGCACCGCCGGCCTGTCATTCGCTCCTGAGCGCACCCGGCCATAGACATAACATGTAAATCACTCGCCCCTGACTCCTCCATCGCGATCGGTCTGAACACGGCATTATAGTACTGTAGGAGTCAATTTGTCGTTATCATGTTGCTGTGTGACATTTACAATAAATCTGGCTGAGCAGTGTGTGTGTAAAAGGGATGGGGTGATGTTCATGTGTGTCCATTTGTATAATGTGGCTTTTTGCAATAACACAGTAAAAAGTCTCTGACTGGTTGGCCACTCCTGTACTAGAACATGAACAATTGCATATGATGGCCCCCTTAAAGTGCCACGACAGCAGGCCCTGGCCTGCACTCACATGAGCTACGAGGGAGTTGCGTTCAGCGGCTGTGGCTTCGCTTGCTGCCGCTTCCTCTGGTGCCTCCTCTGCAGGCACTGGACTTGGCGCTGCTCCCTGGTGGTTGCTGTGAAGGATTCGTTGCTGCTCCTGGGACGAGGACTGGCTCAAGATGGCTGCGACACACAGCTCCACTTGGAAGTGCAAGAAGTTATTCCAGGAGTAAGAGAAAAACAGGTCCTGAAACAAAACCATGACACAATGCTAAAGAACAACAATATGATGTACACAGTCTTTAGGGCATTTAATTAGGGCTAGGACTAGAGGTCCAACAATTTTCCCATTACCATCAACTGATGGAACTTAATGTGCCAGCTAGAATGACTGATAACATTGTCAGGCCCTTGCTCCGCGCTATTGAATAGTTACTTTGTAACTATTGTGACAGTTGTATACAGGGATCAAGAGTTCCGAGCTTCCGGCTCGACCGCACGGCATTGTGGGTAGTATTCTCAAAAAAGTGGGCATGAAATCACGCTCTCCTATTAGATTACCTGTTGCGAGCGTGATCTGTCTCTTGTTTCCAGCCCATCGATTGTTTTAATCGCTACAAAAATCACCAATTTCAGACATTTAGAAGGTAAGGTAAAGATTTTTTCATGTAACAAAAAAGCAATGCATTTATTTTCTTGTGGTTTTAGATGTAAACACAACTGACTATAGAGCTACACGCAGCTTATGCTACTTACGAGGATCGAATGCTTACACGCGAGCTTTATAAACTTACCCAAAGCTGTACTTTGGACATAGAGCCCTCAGAGCGTTTCATGAACTTATGAATAACATTTGTGATCAGAGTATTCAGAGTGGGGACATTATTAAGAACAAACAGTGAGCTGGCAGTATAGAGAGGTGTGCAGTAGGCTTTAAACAAAGTTATTTTGACTTTATCTGTACACATGTGAAATCTCCGTGCTTCAGTGTTAGCCTGTCCATAGAGCTTACAGTACTGCCTCTGAATATCATCGTCATCACTGAGGTCACTCCTGATTACGTGCCCCAGGTATTTGGCCTTCTCTACATTCAGAAGCTCCACACCAGACAAATATGTCCAAAGTACAGCTTTGGGCAAGTTTATAAAGCTCGCGTGTAAGCATTCCATCCTCGTAAGCTACATATAGCTTTATAGTCAGTCGGTTGTGTTTACATCTAAAACCACAAGAAAATGCATTGCTTTTTTTGTTAACTTGAAAAAATCTTTACCTTACCTTCTAAATGTCTGAAATTGGTGATTTTTGTAGCGATTAAAACAATCGATGGGCTGGAAACAAGAGACAGATCACGCTCGCAACAAGTAATCTAATAGAGCGTGATTTCATGCCCACTTTTTTGAGAATACTACCCACTAGGGGTGTGACGAATCGCGATGCTTTCTCCCGTGATTCGATTATCGATATGCATTTGCCAAGTATCAATATCGATTTTGAAAAAAATATATGTATATATATATTTATTTATTTTGTAAATTTTTTTTTTTTTTTAATAGGTAGCAATACTTAATATATGGCTACATTACACATCTCCATTCCATTTATCATGAAATAAAGTGTATTTTTTCTTTCTTTTTGTTCTTACCAATATATCGATAATCGTGATAAAATCGTTATTGTGATATCATTATTGTGATAATATCGTTATTGTGAGCTTTGTATCGTGTATCGTATTGTGAGGTACCCTTAGGTTCCCACCCCTACTACCCACAATGCCGTGCGGTCGAGCCGGAAGCTCGGAACTCATGATCCCTGTATGGTGACCCCGCTCCCATCTCTGCGTGGAGTGAGAGGACAAATGTCCACAACAATTGTGGGGAGCTTTGTGACTCTGGACTGTGAAAAGTGCTATATAATAAATGAGTAATTTGATACGCTTAGAAACAATCAGAACCAAAGTAGCAATATGTCAGATTTTCATGTCAATTCATCATTAAATGGCCCTAAAGACTCAAAATTAGTCTTATTTAGTACATTTTGTTAGTGTTTTTATTTCGATGTCCCACCCTCTACCGTTTCACCAGTCAGAAAGTCTGATTTAGGTGGCCAGAACTCCCCGCGGCCATCTCCTCTCAATGGTAAAACATGTCAGGCCGCAGTACGAAAAAAGGTATCGTTATGATTCTCAAATCATACAAAACAAAGAATAAAACGAGGATTTCTATCGTCTGATGCAAATCTTGCTATGTTCATCATTGACTATTGAAAAAGCTGCCTGGGGTCAATTTAATTTTGTATAGGGTGGTGGTCTAGTGATTATGACACCCCTGAAGTTAAGTCCATTCAGGGGTGGACAAGGAAAGAGCCCTGGACTCGGGGTCAGCTCCAGCCCATCGATCAGATGCTGATATGCCACTCTTATGTCCCCTAAAAAGGGTATATGCTGGCCAGCCGCTTGTCAGCCCAATATACAAGCCAAGCATAATTTTGCCTTTCAAAATGTGTAGTGATCAGCTTTTAGTCAAAATGCATAGAAATATGTGGCTGGCAGGTTTGACAGTGATTTTTTCTCTCATAGAAGGTGCATGTTTGTGTATGTGTATGTGTGTGCATGTGCGTGTGCATGCGTGCATGTGTACCAGTAGTAGGTTTAGGACGTCCAGGTTGCACAGCTCTTGGCACACAGACTGGCAGCTGGTCTGGAGCAGAGAGGCCACAAGCCGTACAACGTGAAGACGCGCGTTCCCCAGGGGGCGCTCCAGGACCCCCACTGTGGTCAATATTGCACTTTTCTGCAGAAGATGAAGATGCAAAGCGATGATCAGGTCATGTATCTTTGTGTATAAAGTATGCAGTAGCCATTGAGATCATAAACATTTTAGGGGCGAACTGAAATGGATATATCAGGGCTGATACTGTAGTAGTCAAGGAGGAAGATATAATCTTCCTATAATATAATATATATCAATACATGGAGCTAATATTCATTTTCATTCATGAAAATAACGATGTACAACTGGAGCATATGTTTATCTAACAAAAATAAGATATCCCACTTTATAGACTGGATATTATGGAACAGCAGAGTAGGACAGACCGCTAGTCACAGATGCCGACCTCGGCACAAGTGGCTGAGTGGATAGAACTCTCGCCTCTCAGCAAGAAGGTCCTGGGTTTGAATCCCGGTCGGAGAAGGGTCTTTCTGAGTGGAATTTGCATGTTCTCCCCGTGCCTGCATAGGTTTCCTCCAGGTAGTCCGGTTTCCCCTACCACTAAAAACATAATCACTAGGTTAAATCCTCCAGCTCCGGAGTCCTGACCAAGCGAGCATCAACATCTGGAGATGGGTTCCCAGGCGTTGTACTACGGCAACCACTGCTCCAGACGTAAGCCTTCGTGGCATCAGGATGGGTCAAATGCAGAGGATTGAATTGCCCTATGGGGATTAATAAAAGTGCACCTGTATTTGATATGATTTTACCCAAACTAAATGGACTTTTATTCCAGTTAATCTGTGTGTTCCTTCTAAGCTGCGCGCAGGTGCAGTTGTGCAGTACTATTGGGCGCACAAACTGTGGACTTGCGGGTCTGATTTCTCACAGACACGAGCTGGAACTAGACCAGCTGTTAAGGTGTGGGGGGGAGCTCCACACACACACCGATGTCGCTCAGAGAATAGACTTTAAAGCAGTTTTTCTTGTGTACAAGTCTCTCCATGGCCCTGCACCAAAGGGCATCCAAGACATCACTAGTATCAGTATCACTGTCATTTGAACCAACTTGGAGCACAGGGACTGGCCACCTACTGGAGTCTGAACTAAACATGGGGAGCCAACATTTCAGACAAAGAGCGTTGCATTGTACCAGGTTGTAGCAGCAGTGCTAATTTACACCTCTTGTCCCTGAGCAGGTTGTAAATGGTAAAACAAAGGTAAAGGAAACATGAGCATACTTGTGTATGATCTGAGCTATACAAATAAACTTGCCTATGCACACACAGGAAGAGTGATCTGAGCCGGAGGACTGATGAACAGTAGGGGTGCAACGGTTTGAAAAAAATCACGGTTCGGTTTGTACCTCGGTTCAGAGGCCACGGTTCGGTTCATTTTTCAAACAAAAAGTTTAATCTTTTTAATAAACACGGCTCATGTGGACTCGGCACCTGCTCTGACTGCCACCCCCCTGACCTAGAAATGAATTAAGGGGAAAAAAATGGATGGATGGATGGAAGGCATATTCCATCCATTCAATTATGTCTTTTTAACATAATCAGTGAAAAACAACACAAAGTGCAACATAAAAAGGCACTTTATGAGGGTATTTACCCTCATATATTAAACCACCTTCCTGATTCTCCCAAGGAGGCGGTCCATTCTGGGCCCAGTCCAGCCTCATTCACTGCATTCATTTAATTTTTGGCATTATCAATTGTGACTGGAATATTAGTACTGGGCCTTTGTCTTCCATTCCTCCGCTGATTGTGTCAGAACCTGCGCTGTGTGACTGTGTGACTTTCATAGAGGGGGCGTGTCTGCAGCACCAGACTTTTCATCTCCCAGTCTGCAGTGATGAAGTTCTCCGTTCCGCTCATGGATCTATTATAGTTCCGCTGTTTTTATTATTTCACGACGCATTATTCTTTCCTCGTGCCTTGCAAAGAAATGCCAATTAAGGGGGGCGGGACACAGACAGCGAGACGAAAGCAATCGCCTCGTGCAGACTGACCCGGCTAAACCCTGAAGTCAAACAGTGCTGCCATTACCGCGGTGCCATCCTACTGGAAGTAGCTGCGTGAAGCTGTTTGTACCGTGGCTGTCGATGGAATTGTCACCACTTCTATAATGCCTGGAAGAGCGTGTTGCCTTTACAACATACTGACTGAAGAGAGCTCTTGGTCCAGCTGAAGAACAAGATGTGTGTCTGAAGTGGATGAAATATATAAACCTAGATGACTTTAATCCAAACAAAGCAGTGGTAAGTTTAGCTTTGATTATTACATTTGAGAAAATCACTGGTTGCTGTTTATAAGTGAGTGTAAAAAGTAACTGCTACATTTTCTAGCATCGTTAGCCTGTTAGCCAGATACAAAAGCTGATTTTGCTCTTGACAGGACCTCTAATGCACTTTCTGTATATGTGCATTCACTTCCGGTTTGTTTACGTTGGATTTCACGATTTCTAAAAAAAAGTTATTCGCAAAGTGGAGCTTGTGGGACTCTTTCTGAAATTTGCCAGAGTATTACAAGTTGGCTAACTGTTAATTGTAATACACATTAATGCTCTAATGGTGCTTTCACACCGGATCATGCGTTGCGTCAACTTTCAATGCAAAGTCAATGATGCGCGTGTTCGAGCGTCGAACTGCATGTGCGTCTTGGGATGCACGCACGGACTGTGTGGTAGAGACGCGCGGACTGCGTGGTAGAGACGCGCGGACTGCGTGGTAGAGACGAGCGGACTGCGTGGTCGAGACGCACGGACTGAACGACAAAGGAGCAGGAGCGGAAAATTGACGCACGCAGGAGATAAATATTGTTGAACGTTTCCTTGGGATGCTCGTGCAGCGACCAATCAGAGAGCCACAAAGTGGTCATTAGTGGTCTGAGCGAGAAGACTGTACATACTCGTAAACGGCCAAAACAGAAGCAACACCAGGACTAAACCAGGGTTGACAATGGGGGACATAGTGCTTGTGAACATATGCGTTCTCATGCTCCCGTGACTGTATACAACTGTTTTGAGCGTGTTCGCCGATCCGGAAGTACCGTTTAATAAAAAAATAAACGTTTGGCGCACCTCCGAGAACACATACTGCTGTTATATAAAGTCTCTGGAAGGTCTCTGAACACAGACGCTGCAGAGCTGCATTATTGAAGAAGAACTTTACACAAAAAGCCGCTAGCTTAACTCCGTTAGCATTAAAGTCCGCCCGCTACTTCCGCCATTTCCGGCGGGCGCCACCGCTGGCCAGGACTTCTGGAGTGAAGACCCCTGCGTCTTAAAATAAGAGAATGTGCGTCTGGTGCGCGAGGTGTCAGCGTTCCAGCGTCGGCAGTGTGAAAGCACCTTAAGATAAGCATTTACACACATACAATAACAGCACATTCGTTAAACGAACTCACTTCATTTTCAATAATTAATCAATTAGTTTTCATTTTACGTGGGGGTTACAAGTTGACAGATCTGGCTTCACATCCCACAAGATCATCCTTATTAAGTAGAATAAAAATCTTAAAACCATTACTACATTACTAATGTATTTTTCTTCAATTCCAGGTATGTGGGAAACATTTTCCTGATCGACAACCCGCAAGAGAAAATTGTTATCCTGTGTTGCATATGGGTTGTTATTTTTGTGTAAGTATATAATGATATTTTTAATATCCTTCATTGTTTTGTTTAACTAAAACACACCTCATTTTTTTCTGTGAGGTAACACCTGCTAGACCCCCCCAAAAGACATGTATTTAGGCTGTACACCAGAACTCAATTACTGAAACTGGAGAAGATTAAGGGAATCTGGAGAAAATCCCTCTGCTGACATGTGATGTTGGAGTCCAGTGGCCAGATCACAACTAGTTTCAGCAGTAATGTGATAGATAGCGTTTTTTCACAATTTTCTTGTGGGCAGGACCACACCAGGACCATTTTGGATTGCTCCAATAGAGCACAAAATTTGGCCCATTAGTTTGAACGGCGGAGATAGGCGTGACTACGTCCGTTAATAAATAGTCTATGGTTCAGACGCAGCACCCTGCACAGAGGCTGCAATGAGTTTTACCATGGATCTATTATAATTAGTGCTGTCCAACGATTAAAATATTTAATCGCGATTAATCACGTGAATTTCATAGTTAACTCGTGATTAATCGCAAATTAGTCACACATTTGTGTGGGTGTGTGTGTGGGTGTGTGTGTATAGACCATAGACTGTATAGAAACATGGTGTCATTATGATGATGATAAACAATCTGTAAATATTTTGTAAATTTGTTCATGTAAATACTTTATACTGTTTCTGTTTACTTTCGGTATATCTATGACTGTATACTGTTTGCTTGTATTGCCTTTTTATTAACCCCCCCCCCATCTCCCACTTCATGTCCCCCCCCCCCTTCTATGCAGTGTTGTGCCAGTTCACAGCTTTTCTGAACTAGTTCAAGTTCAGTTCATACATGCTCAAAGTGAACAGAACACGTTCAAAGTTCACATTTTTAATTCTGAACTAGTTCAAAGTTCAGTTCATTTTATTTTTTTCGTGAGATAAATACACATTTTTTTCACACTACGAGCTATATATATATATATATATATATATATATATATATATATATATATATATATATATATATATATATATATATATAATCAACCATGGGAGCCATGGACAATACCCACCATGGAAAAGACGGTTGGAGGCTAAGATCAAGGCGGCTCGGAGAGAAGTGAGTCAATTAACAGAGGCCCAGAGAGGTGCAATGAAAAGACCAGTACCCAGAAAGTACAGCCAGATGACCATACCTGAAGCACTCGAAACTGCCAAACAAAGGCTCCAAGCCCTGGCCAGCCGCCTACAGAGGTACACTAAAGAGAATGAAGCCAGAAGGGTGAACAGGCTGTTCGCAACACAACCTGCGAAGGTGTACGCTCAGTGGCAGGGTAACAACAGGGGAGCAGATCCACCGAGGCTGGAAACTGAACAGTTCTGGAGGAACATATGGGAGAAGGATGCAGCACATAACAGAAGTGCACAATGGCTGGTGTCCCTGAGAGAGGAGCACAGCCACCTCCCA